AAATCTTGGATAACGTAATTTTATATATGACTAGCGTTGCCCGTGGAATTAAAAAAACTTGAAATTTTAAAAAAATTCTATTTTTTAGCCTTTGTTACTCCCCGGGCACCCATGGGTTCCCTGGAAAATTTTTAGCCAATTTGGTTCAGCCGTTTGGCCAGCTATAGCTAACATGTATACAATTACATAGTATATGAGCGCTCTTTATTAAGTAGATATACATTATTTAAGATACAATGAACGAATTTCAAACATGTTTTATAATCACAAAATAGGTGAGAGGATCTTAGTTACTTAATAAATGTACAGGGTTATCCACTAAGGATGAGACTTTAATGGCGAAATAAAACTTTAAATTTAAACGATTTGAAAACTAATTTTTGTTTTCTGACATGCAAACCTAGAGAACCCGCAACTGAAAATAAACATTCATTAGAAACAAAACCATGGATATCTAATTCATAATTGACCAGACAAAGCTTTTAATGGTAACGTTGTAAATCTGGCATTGCCATCTCTGCATGGAGGGTCACTTGAAATTACGCTTACAGTCTCTCTAAGAGAACAACTATAGATATTTTACTATATAAGCGTTTATCGATAGATTTATGTTCAAATATTTATCCTCGCTCATTTTAAGGTCATCTAAATGACCGTGACTTATTCAGCGCGGGGAAGTCGTTTTCTTCGTTGGTACTTTAAAGGACGATGTTTTGATGTGTTTTGAATGGAAGTTGACTAGAAGATATCAATTAAACTCTAGATTGTTCTTAAATTTGCCAAACTTGTATTTAACTAATCACTTCGGTTCGTGTTTCTGCTCTAAACCAATTATATTCTCGGCTCTTTTCAACATCCCTTCCTTTCATTCTTAAATCATATTAAATATCGTTTCTCATTTTTCATTCATAAATGATTTTTTTTCACACGTGTCAAATGCTGATTATTTCTTTTTACCACCCCAACCCAAAATACCCACATTGATACAAAGGCACTGCAAGAACAGGAAATGAAATTAAGTACAACCCACTGTGCGTAGAAAATATTAGAAATAAACCTTAAAATAATTTCACCTTTTCCAGTTTTTAAGTTTTTTTCCGACTTTAGGGGTTAAGAATTTTTTCCGTTTGATTTTCTTTAAATATCATATTCCATAAAGATGACAACGTTTTTTCCTTAATCCGTTAAGACCTTAATTACAAATAATAAAAAACTATTTCTTTCGTCAACGTGTGATCCTATAAATAACCCTAAAAAACATCTTAATACCAGAATTCCAGGAAAGTACTTTTAAATTATTTGAATATGTTTTTATAAATTCCACTTTCAAAGTTCTTCAATGTTTCAACCTGAACAAAATTCTCTTTATGAGGGGGCTGGAGATTGTGAGGGCATGGTGGAAGGGAAGGTAGGGGTGGATGAAAGTATGGTAAGAAGGAAGGTAAAGCGGGAAGGAAGGGGTGGATGAAAGTATGGTAAGACGGAAGGTAAAGTGGGAAGAAAGGGGTGGATGAAAGTATGGTAAGACGGAAGGTAAAGTGGGAAGGAAGGGGTGGATGAAAGTATGGTAAGAAGGAAGGTAAAGTGGGAAGGAAGGGTTGGATGAAAGTATGGTATGACGGAAGGTATAGTGGGAAGGAAGGGGTGGATGAAAGTATGGTAAGACGGAAGGTAAAGTGGGAAGGAAGGGGTGGATGAAAGTATGGTAAGAAGACGGAAGGTAAAGTGGGAAGGAAGGGGTGGATGAAAGTATAGTAAGACGGAAGGTAAAGTGGGAAGGAAGACGGAAAGGAGTAAAGGGTATAAAGAGGAAGGAGTGGATGAAAATATAGTAAGACGGGAGGTAAAGTGGGAAGGAAGGAAAGGATGAAAATATGGTAAGGCGGAAGGTAAAGCGGGAAGGTAGGAGTGGATGAAGGGAAGGAAGACGGAAAGGAGTAAAGGGTATAAATAGGAAAGGGTGGTTGAAGGTATGGTAAGGCGGAAGGTAAAGTGGGAAGGAATACCGAAAGGGGTAAAGGGTGTAAAGAGGAAGGAGTGGATGAAAGTATGGTAAGGCGGAAGGTAAAGTGGGAAGGAATACGAAAAGGAGTAAAGGGTATAAATAGGAAAGGGTGGATGAAGGTATGGTAAGGCGGAAGGTAAAGTGGGAAGGAAGACGGAAAGGAGTAAAGGGTATTAATAGGAAAGGGTGGATGAAGGTATGGTAAGGCGGAAGGTAAAGTGGGAAGGAAGACGGAAAGGGGTAAAGGGTGTAAAGAGGAAGGGGTGGATGAAAGTATGTTAAGGCGGAAGGTAAAGTGGGAAGGAAAAAGGAAAGGGGTAAAGGGTGTAAAGAGGAAGGGGTATTAAGGACCATGTTTAGTAGAATTAAAGGATAATAAACTAAGGTTGTTAACTCTTGGTTTAACTCCAAGATCTTCTCTTCTCTTTGATTTACAGATCAACAACAATATTGGCTCAACCTTACAGGACATTTATTTGTTTAACTCAATAAATAGACAAGGTAGCCAGGAGATAGATAAATACACAGTTGAACAGATATATAGTTAGACAGACTGACAGATAGACCTTCCTAATGTACCTCCTATGTAATGTATACATACAAACCTTCCCTCTCAATAAACCCTCAGCCATCCCCTTCCCCTATGCCATCTCTCCTAATATACCAACCTATCATTAACCATCTCCCCTAATGTGACATCTCCCATAAACCATCTTACCTAATGTACCATTTCCCATAAACCATATTTCTTAATGTACCATCCTTCCATAAACCATCTCTCTTAATGTACCATCTTCCATAAACCATCTCTCCTAATGTACCATCTCTCATAAACCATCACTCCTAATGTAACATCTTTCCATTAACCATCTCTCCTAATGTACCATCTCCCATAAACCATCTCTCCTAATATAACATCTTCCCATTAACCATCTCTCCTAATGAACCATCTCATAAACCATCTCTCCTAATGTGCCATCTCCATATACCATATCTCCTACTGTACCATCTCCCGTAAGCCATATTTTCTAATGTACCATCTCCCATAAACCAAATCTACTAATGTGCCATCTCCCATAAACCATATCTCCCATAAATCATATCTCTTAATGTACCATCTCAAAAACCAACACTCCTAATTTGCCATCTCCCATTTAATCCATCTCTCCTAATGTACCATCCTCCCATAAACCATCTCTACCAATGTACCATCCTTCCGTAAACCATCTCTCCGATATAATGTGCCATCTCCCATAAACCATCTCTCCTAATGTATCATCTCCCCACCGAAGCCCCTCAATAAACCATCTCTTCTACCATCCCCCCCA